TGGGGAGGCGGCGTTCAATATGAACCACTACGGCACTTGTTAAGAATTTTTGAAGTCACATTTGGCTCACTACACAATGACCACATTCTAAATTCTTCCGGGTGTTATAAGGCTTTGAAATTTCGGGCACCGGCTTGCACTGAGTAAAAGGGCGATGGAAGAAAAGAGGGGCATTCTTTTAAACATCCTCAGAGGTTTGAAAAGCAGCGTTAAAAAAGACAAAATGGAAACAAAGCTAGCCTGAAATTCGTCTCGACAAACAAGTTTCCATTTGTCCTAATTTGCGTCACTTTGCTTCAAGGTCGCTCTCAGCCACTGAGCAGGGGCTGATAAATTGTCGTCCCATTATGTCTCTTTCAACACATAGCCCTATTTTCTAGAAGCGAGATCTTCCACTATTAACGTGAGACTGCGAACGGACCAAACCAGGATTAGTGAGCTCTAAAAGGAAGCCCCTAAAAATATACCGGAACAACAGCAGGGGTCAAAAACGGAATCTTGGAATTTTGGGGGCAGAATCTTTACCACTACATAATGTTTTCATTGCAGTGTAAAACGAATGTCCTATCACTGAGGAAAAGAAAGCAAAACATACAAAAAGTCACAAGAGTTTAAGATATGGAATTTGTAAGGCGAATTCGGCACATGCTACGTCCTAAAAGTGCAACAACGTGAAAGTTAATACTGCAGCATATGAATATTCAATCGCGGTGCTGTCACGAATTCAAACTTCAATTCTGTCTGTCGTGCGTCACCACTATGACCGCATGACACGATTTCTCGAAAAGTGCACTTCGCTTTACAACTTGTTGGGAAGGCGAGAACGCCATCATTCCATACACATTTCGTTTACAATATAAAATAACAATAGAACAGAGCGTTTCAAAGGACGAAGGATTGCTTTGTTGTGTGTTCGTTTACAAAAGAAATCGGGCTGCATTGTTCTAAAAACAACCCAACTGAATTGTTTTCATTACAAACCAATCTCGAGCAATGCTTTCCTCGGACTTTGAGATACTCTGTGTAAGCAAATGCCTACAACTGTTTTATGTTTCAGAGGATTGTGCAAAAAATGTGCGGACAGCGACAGAAAAATCAAACAAAAGTTCATGGGACGGTGAGACGGGAGCGGGGATGGGGGAGGGGGGTTATTTCAATACATATAAGAACATTTAAGAAAACTGATATCCTCTCCCACAACACAATCTCTTTCTTCTTACATGTACCCAAAGGGTATCAGAAAATGGTCATGAGCCACATTTCCCGAGACATACCGATATACGAATCTCCATGTCAAAATGATCATGATATGATAATGCCAGCTTGCCGGACAAATATCGCTCTTTTACAATCACTAACCAAATAAAGCCAGAATAGAAACACAAAGTTACAAAAGAGATTGTTGTTTCTCGACATAAAACTCAAGCCTTGTCTGGTACCTATCCCTGGTGGTGCCATAAGGTGCTGATCAAAAGGCTCTTTACACAGGGCCCGGTCATTTTAGAGTAG